AGGGGGTGGTGGTGGATGGTTCAGTGAACCAAGGGGGTGGTCCCCCGGGACGTGTCCGTACTAGTACCACGTGTAGCGCATTGCGCCCTACCGTGTCACCAAACACTTGCACTACCCGCTCCCCCGCTCCGCCTCGCTCCGCCCGCGCCGCCTCGCCTTGGCACGCGCCCCCGCCATGGCGTGGCCGCGACGCTGCCCCGCCCCGCGGGTCCCGCGGGTGTCTCGCTATGTAGGTCTGGCCGTGGCCGTCCCGCCCCTTGCGACCCTCGCGCTCGACGGCAAACGGCAAGGGCCAGCGGCTGACTGGCAGGGATACTCACAACAACCAGCATTCGCGCGCTAAGTTGTTTGGCTTCATAGGAATGAGGCGTTTTGGCCCCAAGATTGACAGCAAACCAGCGAAACAAATGACAGCTAAATATGTGAGAAAATTGGAACAGCCCTGTTCTCAGATTCGTATCACCTCCTTTCAAGATCGATTCTTGATTGAGATTTTTTCTTACGCATTTCTAAATATGGGAGAAAATTAGAACACAACTCTTAAATTTATATCTCGTACTTTCACAATTGATTCTTAATTGATCTGTTTTTCGTCGCACCACCCATTTTAGCAATTTAACAATTTGTTTTTGCTGTAAAAATCTAAAAATTTGACAGTAAACATCATATTTTTCTTCTCATTTTATTTTTCGTTTATCGCTTCAGCCGACCCGGTCGGCGTATCGTCTGTTCGAAGAAAAACTCGCCATAGTAAAGTGTGAGCCACAAAAAGTTTTGTTGTTTGATTGACAAAACATTTTGCCTTTGAAAAAAGGGGTGACGTCGACGGGGGATGTGGATGTGGAGCGCGAAGAAAGAGAGGGGAATCCGCCCTCGCGACCGATGACGTCACGACGCCCTTTTGGCTTCGTCCCCCGCCGGACAGCTAATGGCCCTTTTCATTTCATTATTACTACAAATCTCGTGGAATATCATACGAAAAGGGGTAGAGGCAGCGCGGCAGTGGGTGATGCCAGCAGACTACTTGAGAGACATCAGTCAGTTAAGGAAAAAGTTTAGCTATGCCGTGGTGCACTTGAGGGGTGAGTATTTCAATTTTGGGGTACAATCGGTGACCAAAGACCTACTTTCCCCCTTAAATATATCAATTTGTCATGCTCGTTTCGCTCGTCTCGCTCTATCTCTCCTTCCTCCCATGATCACTGCGCGCGCTCTCGCCTCTCGCCCCTCCACCTCAATCGTCTTCGGTTTCCGAGGCCCCCGCCGTCCCGCCCCAACCCGTCCCGCAGAGCGCCCAAATTTAGCCTCGAGTCGAGCAGCGACGCCACGCGGGGCGCACGAGAGGTTTTCGCTTTCGCGCTCTAGCGCTGTGAATGTCACTAACTCCCACGCGAGAGAGAGAGGGAGAGAGCGAGCAAAAGAGAGACAGAGAGAGAGAGAGAGACAGAGAGACAGAGAGATAGAGAGACAGACAGACAGACAGAGACAGAGACAGAGACAGAGACAGAGACAGAGACAGAGACAGAGACAGAGACAGAGACAGAGACAGAGACAGACAGAGAAAGAGAAAGACAGACAGACAAACAGCTAGACGGACAGAGTGGAAAGAAAGCGAGAGAAAGTGAAACGGAGGCTTTGCGACGAAGAAAAGAGAACACATTCACGCGGGGAGAAAAATAATTTATAACAAGGTGCCTTGAAAAGAGCCCTGAGCTCCTCAGAGACGCGCGCGGCACGGCTGGTGGTGAGGGGAGCAGAAGCAGACCTGGAGCAACTAGGGGCAGAGGAGGAAAAACGGCTACCCAATTTGGGACCATGCCGCGGTACGCTGCGCTACGGTGCGGTGCGCCGCAGTACGCCGCGGTACGCCGAGTTTCGGTACGCTACGCCGGTGGTTACACCCTTGCCGTCCAGCGCGTGGCTAGGCTGGGCTCTTCGCTCTCGTCGCTCTGAAGAAGGGGGTGGAAGGGAGATCGTACTTTTTCTTTAGTTATTTTTCTGTCGTGGTGGTGGGTTGAGCTGCATACCGTACTGTACCGTCCCACCCCGCCACCTCGGCTTGAGCATGAGGTCATACTCGCGCTTGCGCTTGTGTTTAGGCGGGGCGGGCGTGGTGGCATGGTGTCAAGAGCCAACGCTCCCATCCATCGCAGAGATTCTATCTTGAGTTAGACGCGTCAGCGTCCGGCAGGAGCTCCGCATCTCTAACGTCAATACGCGGTTGCTCGTGCGGCTCACTTCCGGCCTTTGCGTCCGACCTCCACGCGCCCTCGGCCTTAACTGCGAAGTTTAGCGCCGCCTCCCCCCCCTCCCCCTCCGTCTCCCCCTCCCGCAGGTGAGCGCCGGCCTTACGCCAGCTCTCACCTCGGAGGTCGCCCTGCAGCTGCTCCTCGTCTCCTCGTCCTTGCCAACGCCAGCAGCTCCCCTCTCTCCTCCACGCCTTCCTGCCGCACCCGCTCCAGTGTCGCTGTCGCCCCCGCTCACCGGGAGGAGGGCGGTGGCTCACCGAGCAGCAGGCGGCTCACCCAGCGGCTCACCACCGCCATAACAACACTGACAACAAAGACCAGCTACCCATCTCTTGGGCCCCGTTTGGGGTCTGTTCGCAGAGACGGGGGGTGAACTGGGACTTGTGCCCCACCGTGCCGCGCCCCAGCCAGGTGCCGCCGCCGTTCACCGCGTTCGGGCGGCCCGCCGCGCCCGCCGGCTCCGGCCTGACCGGCCTCAGCCCGCACCTGTCCCGCGCGCCCGCCCGCGGCCACCACCGCTACGCCTTCAACACCTTCGCCAGCGGCTACTGAGGGCTGCTCCGCCGCATAGAAACTGCTAGAGAGACGGAAACGACAGTCGTGGACCACCACCGCGACGCGCAGATTCTTGTCATTTACATACATTGCATTTACCGCTCACATGTTAAGTGTACATATTTTTGGTGGTTTATTTTGGTACAAAATATACGATACTGTTCAGGAATGAATGCGTGTTGTTTCTTCATTGATGATAGCCCGGTGTCACAAGGGGAGACGAGGGAGACGGTGTCGATCCCGACGCGGACCGCCGCGGGCCTCTTAGCGCCGCGGACCGGTTGGGGATGACGGGGTTTATGAGAATTCCTCCGTCTGCTCGGTTAATACATTGTAATAACGAATTCCATCTCTCGAGTCGATGCCACGGAACGCCGGGGTTGCTGGGGAAAGGGGAAAAGGAGGGAAAAGCTGGAAGAAGGAAGGAGGGGGTGCGGGCAGCCGCCTGCTCCGCCTGCTGCAGGGCAAAAAGGATCACAGTCAAGTGAACGCAAGGCGCCCCGCCCCGCGCCGTCACTCTGAGATGGCAGAGAAAAGGCCGCGATAGTCTGACACGCTGCGAGCCCTGCGAGCGGGCCGCCGCCAGGGCCGCTCAGGAAATGAGTCTCTGAGAGGGGCCTGGGCCTGGCGGGGCCGGGCCGCGCCGGGCCGGGCCGGGGGAAGAGGTGGGCGCTGGCAACGCCTGTTATAAATCTCATTTCCACCGATGCACGAAGAGTGACAGGACAAGAATTGGAAATTCTTAAAGCGCGGGAGTGCGCCGACCTCGCGATTCTTCTGCTTTATCTCTAAGTCTTGCTCTCTCCCTCTCTGAGGCAGAGAGAGAGTAACGGCGGGGTGCGGTTCACTCCAATAACAGAGTAGCCACACGACCGAGCCCTATTCAATTAGCAGACAGGTACACGTAACCAACACGTGTCAACGGGCGGGCCAGACCGGTAATGAGAGAACCTTTCTGGGAGAGGGGGGGGGGAGCGCAACGGAACAGCACCCCACACCCCACCGGCAGAGCAAGGTACGTGAAGCATGTGGGCATGTGACGCTAAAACCATCAAATCCAACAGCTCCATTTCAGACGCACTCTGGACTTTAAAAAATATTTTAAAATGTGCTTTTCACCTTTTTGTGTTGCTTATCAATTCGCTCCGGCCCACTTTTATCTCTGAAACAAGACGCACCCGGTTTGTCTGCCCCAGTCTGTGTGTCTGTGCACGTGTGGCTAACGCATGAGGAGAGTGTTTGTGATGTGGCGTTGTCGCAAGTCACTCGTTTCGTGACCGGCGACCCTCTGCATGCAGGTGACTGGTGCAAGTGATAAGTGACTACCATGTAGACTGTACCCCCTGCGACCTGACTCAGTCCCTACTGGATGGAACTGTTGGATTTCACAGCTTGTTTTGTTTATTTTTCTTTCTGTATCCTTAGACCGTCTGTCTCATCTTCTTACAGGACTTTGAAACTTCCTCTTTGTCTTTACTATCCTTTCGTAATTCTAAAAATACCCTCCGATCGGTGGGCCACCACCTGTCGGGCAAAAACAAAAATATGTATATAAAAAAGTCCGTAACCACGTAGTGTCAAATTCTAAATAAATAAACAAATGCAAAACTTAATGAATCCAACAACTCCTGATAAGGGACTGATAGGTGAAGTTGAAGTCATTTGGAGTCACCAGAAAGGTTTGAGTAAGCTAAGCCTTATGATTATTTTCCATCATCTGCTTCGTGTGTTTATTTACTTGCTATTGAAGGCTCGTTTCTCTGAAGTGACCTCCTTGAGCTGACAAAAAAAATAAAATCATGAAAAGAGAGGTGGAGAGAGAGAGAGAAAACAGCTATCGTGTCCCTTACACGGACTTTGGCTCTGTTGGCAGACGCCGCGGCACTACGTGGTTACGGACAGGCCCGACAGGGCGCGCCGGGCGGACGAGCAGTACAGCTACTCGTACTCGGCCGAGGAGTCCACCTCCCGGTCTGACCGGCCCGGCGCGGTGCCCACCCGGTCCTACACGTCGTCCTCGGAGCGGGTGCAGCGCTCCGCCGGCTCCGGCCCGGGCTCCAACTACTCTTCCAGCACGGAGCGCACCGCCCGCTCCAGCGGCGACGGCCCCGGAGGCTACCACTCCTCGTACTCCTCGACCGCCTCCGGCTCCCTGCCCGGCGGCACCCGCTACCGCCACTTCTCCTACCGCGTCTAGCCCCGGGGGCTACCACTCCTCGTACTCCTCGACCGCCTCCGGCTCCCTGCCCGGCGGCACCCGCTACCGCCACTTCTCCTACCGCGTCTAGATCGGTGCAGCCCCCCCACC